TATTGTAAAATAAAAAGCCCAAATTTGTATACAAAGATCTTGTAGACAGAAATGTGCAACTGCCAACTTCAAAGTTCTTGCAATGGGAGGAATCACTAGGTATAGAAACTGCAGATTGGTCAGAATATTATACTTTTTTAAGAAAATTATGTAAAGACATTTATTAAATTCCTTACAAACATCGGTACATTGCCGGCTCATCTGCATGTTCCACTAAAGAATTGTCCATTAGATTGACTACAATTCTGTCCGCAGTGAAAGAGGGTCTTCAGAAATACTGTGAAACTGTTTGCTCGCGTAGTGGTATTAACCATATGTGGATTCTTAAAAATTCTCAAGAACTTCTAGATAATTTTAAATCTCGGTCTTTTTCTGAGATTAGTTCTATCAAAACTTTTGATTTTTCAACCCTGTATACCACCATTCCCCATGTGAAATTGAAAAATCGCTTGAAAGAAATAATCCACAATGCCTTTCATCATAAAAATGGTAGCATACGCTATAAATTTATTACTTTGGGATATCATAAGGCATATTTTGTTAATAGTGAACAAAAGGGTAAAACATGCTACACAGAAGAACAAGTGATCAGTATGCTGGAGTTTCTTATCGACAACATATTTGTTGAATTTGGAGGTAGACTTTTTCAACAAATTGTCGGCATTCCTATGGGAACGAACTGTGCGCCTCTCCTTGCCGACCTCTTCTTATTTTCATATGAATCGGAGTTCCTTCAGACACTTGTCAAAAACAAGAAAATCAAAGAAGCCAGATTATTTAATTTCACTTTTAGATATATTGATGATGTTCTTTCCATTAACAATCCGAACTTTTCTGATTGGGTTCCATTAATATATCCCCCAGAACTAGAAATTAAAGAAACAACAGACACGGCTTCCTCCGCCTCATGTTTAGACTTATATCTCGAATTTGACATACACAGTCATCTAAGTACCAGAATCTATGACAAACGAGACGATTTTAATTTTAAAATTATAAATTTCCCCCACCTTAGTAGCAATATACCAACTTCACCTGCATATGGGATATACATTTCCCAACTTATTCGATATTCAAGAGCTTGCAGCTCCTACTCAGACTTTGTAAAACGTCACCAGTGTCTGAGCAGAAAGTTGATGAACCAGGGGTATGTCAAAGAACGTCTCGTCCTTTTTCTAAAAAAGTTCATCGGAAGGTACCAAGACCTTGTTGATAAATATTCCGTATCAACTTCACAAATAATACATGATGGTCTTGAAGTATAGATTCTGCATACTGACGTTGTTTATCATCTTAACAACGTGTAATATTGTTCTTTCATTTGTCTTTGTTCTATTATTAATATTACTTTTACTGTTTGGTTTGTTTTCTGTGATATCCATTTGACGTGGCTGGGTACTTATACATCCCGTCAATGTGTTTGTATTATCTTTCATTTTTACTGGTGTGTTTTGTATATGCGACTTTTTGTATTTCTGTGGTTCTTTTAACGTGACTATGTACTTTAAAAGATCCCGTCATTATGTTATTGTTCTGTTATATGTCATTATGTTATTGTTCTATTATAAATTTGAAAATACTTTGAACGACAAACGACAAATTTATTTTACTCGCGTAGTGGTATTAACCATATGTGGATTCTTAAAAATTCTTAAGAACTTCTGGACAATTTTAAATCTCGGTCTATTTCTGAAATTAATTCTAACATAACTTTTGATTTTTTAACCCTGTATACCAACATTCCCCATGTGAAATTATAAAATTGTTTTGAATAAACATTGAATGACAAACTTTTTTCTTATGTGACGTTTACATTTTCTGACGTCAGACACGCGAAGCAATGAATGTGGTTTTTAATTTGATAGATGCTTTTGTGCTTTTTTGTAAATAATTGTTTGTTTTGATATTGTTACATAGTGATGACTGCTGTACCCATATTTTGACTATTTTATTTATAATGTCTGTTTTGTTCACACGTCGTTGTAAATATAACGAAATTTGATAAGACTGTCGTACAAGTGAGAGGTTTAGCGCTATAAAACCAGGTTCAATCCACCATTTTCTACATTTGAAAATGCCTGTACCAAGTCAGGAATATGACAGTTGTTGTCCATTCGTTTGATGTGTTTTGTCATTTGATTTTGCCATGTGATTAGGGACTTTCCGATTGAATTTTCCTTGGAGTTCAGTATTTTTGTGATTTTACTTTTTATTTTTAGAACTTTTCAATACAGGTTTTTGCATAGAATAATTGCAACTAATACCTTCCTGTATAAATTTAAACTGAAAGATTCCAAGCTATGTACATTTTGTAAGGTTTCTGATGAAACCATGGAGCATTTGTTCTATAATTGTTCAATAAAAAATCTTATATGGGAATCTTTTTCACAATAATTGGCCTTACAAATGAGAGTTTATTTTTGTATTTGATGATTATAGTTGGAAAGAACTATATACATGTATGCAAATGCAAATTGTATGATAAGAAACAAAGTATTATAGAGCTAAAACAAATATACGGAAATACCAGGCAATAGAACATTATATAGCAAAGAAAATGGTACCATACAAATTTATCAACAATTCTGGGCACCAGTAGATTACATTTTTACTGATTAGTAATAGTTACTTTTTATTTAAACTATATAAAAGAAAAAGAACTCATAATGAATATCTTTACAAAGATAACATTTTTTCTTTGCAATTAAAAAGTTGATATATGTTAATGTATGTAATGAGTGAGATTGTTCTTTTCCCCTTTTTGTTACAGGTGAAATACCACCAAATCATAGTACGTCACATCCGGTTTCATACGAAAAAGGGTCGAAAAAAAAATTCCCTTGAATTTGACAGTTGTAGGAAATTAGCCTTGTATTTCATTGCAGAAAAAAAATTCGGAGTCATAAACATATATCTTGGGTGTTTCCAAGCACCATTCATTTTTTATTTGCTGTTCCTATAAAATATTTTAGAAACTTCAGGTGACATGGTTACTAAAGATTGTTAACAGGAAAAAAAGGTGTAAAATTGATTTGTTTACTTCCGGTGATGGTTAATATCTTATATGCAATGAAATGTTATGTGAAATTTTCACTGTAGTGATGGACAGGATAAAATTTTAAAGTATTTCTTTATTTGAAACAAATATAAATTCTGCACATTTTTTGAAAATTGCCAATTTAAAAAGACTAATAGCGGAAAATCAATGGTGGTATTATTCCTAAATTGGAAGCTGCACATTTACCTTTGACCTTGTATGTACTCTCATGCTATTTCACTTGAACATAGCAAACCTGGAATATTCTGAGTTGATTGAGTCTCAAAAATATATTTGAGGGGAAATTGCCTTAAAATAGGGCTTTATCATGAATATTAGTTTGCAGAGCAAGCCATACTTAGTGTTTTGGGGAGCTTTTTATGACTTTTCTCCTTATTTTCTATATTGTGCTTTACAAGAAAACTGTTTCCTACGTAATCATGGTAATTCTTTAAGAAATATACAGTAATAAGTAAATGAAATGTTTATGAAGCAGTTCCAACAAATTATTTACTAAAAGGGAACCATTTTATGATCTTCTCTGGAACGCGGCGTAAACTTAAGTTTTACGTAAGGACTTATTGAAAACTTTTATATGGATAGTTCATTCAGCTAAAACACTTCAATTATTCATTTATTATCCCATTTATTACATATATGCTATATATCTGTAAATGGCTTTTTGAAACGTGGGTACGGCTTTGAATGCTATCCTTGATAAATAAATGGGGATATATGATGCCCCCGCTTGCATGTAACATTATAAAGGGACATAACTCAAGAACGGTAAAAGTGACACTACCCAAATTCGTACTTGATCTGAGTTTTGTGATAATAAGCATTGTGTATTAGTTTCATAACATTTAGTTGAGCCAAACTTAAGTTAGAGAACGGAAACGAAAAATTCAGCAATTTTTCCATTTGTATAGGAGCATAACTCTAAAAAGGTAACAGTTACGCCACCCAAATTCAAACTTGATCTGTGTTTTGTGGTAATAAGCATTGTGTATAAGTTTGCTGACATTCGGTTGAGGCAAACTAAAGTTAGAGGCCGGAAACCAATTTTGGGACGTACGGACGTACGAACGGACATACAGACGACAAGGGTAAAACTTTATGCCCCCTCTGCTACGGCGGGGTCATAAAATAGAATATAATATAATAGTTTTTTTCTAAACTGTACAAAGTCTAACACATTCAAATTTTTTCACAGATATAAGAAGAATCCTTATTCGTCATTCCGCGAAAGAAATTTAACTCAAATCCCTTATTCGATCAATAAAATCCTGCCTTGGATTTTTGTGACTCGTCGAATATAAATGACAAATTACACATGCCATGTACGTAAAGTATTTTTATTTTCGAACAGATAAAACTATATGAGTACAAATTCAACTCAAATATTCGTTATAATTACCTAATCTTTTATGCTTTTAAACAAGCCAGTTGAATTTGCAATTGTATGCTAAACATCTTCTATTGAATTAAAGCTGTTAGTCATAATCAGAGGCCATGATTTTCTTACAGATGTAGTATAATATGTTGATTGTTAGAGACTTATATGACTTAAATCAATGTTTAAAGGATATTTGCCACAAATAATCTGCTTGTAGATATAATCATGCTGCACTTAAGTCATGTTTAAAACGTGGCAGATAAACATTTTAATACAACTGGGCAAAAACTAGCCAATCTTTAATTATCCATATCACATTTTTTTCCCGCCAAAGTTTTGCTTTAATTAATCTTCTAAATTGGGTAAAGTTACTGCAATAACGTAAAAATCTTACGAAGCCCCTATTTAATGACATGATAATGAATAAATCCAAATAATCTAAATATTTCAAAATAACAGTTTCTTTTACATTTGATAATGTTGTAAAGAGGATACAAGCAAAACTAAATGTATTTTTTATGATCGATTTTACCACTATATGACATGGTTTATTCCTTTATTTCCTAGGCATGGAGGAAAGAAAAATAAATTCTTACAAACTTGGACAAGATATATTTTATCTACATCATCAGTTCAATCTGAAGTCAGTACTCAATATAGGCTTGATAGGAGAGATAACCGATGTAGCATTGATGGATGATGGTAGACTGGTGATGTGCTTGACCGACCAGTGCAGACTACTAATCTGTAATATAGATGGATCACAGGTAGGAACCATACCATGTTGTGTTACAGCTATCAACAACTCTACATTGGCTGTTACAGTGTATTATCCTGTCGGCAATCATGGTATAGAGATCTATGACGTTAACAATAAACACAAACTGAAATACATACCAGTACCTAGAATGGTGTATATTTTTGACATTACAATGATAAATGACAAATTAGTAGTCGGCGCTGACAGTGGACTAGTAGTTGTTGATTATCAGAAAGGAGAGATAGTACAGAATATAGGAACAAACTGCCAACCATGGGAGATATATGCTTCCGATAACAGAATTTTTTACAGAGAATACATGCAAAGTAACAAAATCCTATACTGGTACAGCTTTATCGATGACAAAATGCATACATTAACATTTGCATCTATACCATGTTCAATGACTTCACTAGGCGATGGTAGTCTGTATGTTATCTGTACAGATGGATGTATACAACATGTATCATCTAATGGGAAACAGTTCAGAACTTTAAAAACAAATCAATCCCAATTCTTCAATGATTGTCCCTATATACGATACAATTCAAAACAGAAAATAATGGTCACATACAATGTCAAAACTGAAAATGCCCAAATACTTCAGGAAATTGAAGTATGAAATATGAAACTTCCGCAACTTTAAAATGGAATCAAATAATGGTAACAGAATCAATGTTTTGAATAAATGCATGTCACTTTACAACTTCGTAATAAACTGTTTGTTTCAGTAAAAACATTTTTATATAGCTTTTGTATCAATCAAACATTTGTTTGGCAGTCTTGTCATTAGATCTTAACTATTAAAGCTTCTATATTGATGCCAACAAGAGATAGATTCCAATAAATGATAAGCAGCTACAATTTGAACCAGTTATTTCTAAAAAGAGTTCAGTCTAAACAAAATATCCCAACAATATTAAAATGCATAAACTGTTTACCCCTTTCAGTAACTTATACTAAAATACTAAGACATATACTTATAATTTTGTATGTTTATTACTAAAAGCTGTATAAATAGACATGTCATTTACTAACGTTAACAAGACTTGGATGTTTTTCAACTAACAGATGTAAAGATTTCAATTAAGTATGAAAATTAATATAAAAAAAATGTATTTGAGTTAGCAGCTGGAAACAAAAATGATTGACATACTCACTGACTGAAATATTAAAAACAATGTACCCTCACTACTTAGGATAAATTCAATGTTTTTTTGCAGATAAATTTGAAGCATATAAAGCCTTCTTCTGTATTGAAAAAGGTAAATATGGAAGATAAACTTACTAGATGTGTGATGACATGATCAAAGCAGTAAATTTACTCCTTGACAACAACTATGTACATTTCCGCTATAAAGTTTGTTGATAGACCAACAGAGAGTCTTGAACAGTGATGTTCCTTTGGTCCCTTATTGCCGTGTGTATATTTCCCAACTCGTTAGCTATGTCTGTGTCTACAGTGACGTTTAAGATTTCAAAGAATATAATCTAGTAAAATTATTAAAGCATCCCCCCAAATATGAGAGGTGGTATGATGTGTGCCAATGAGACAACTTTCCACCAAAGGCGAAAGGGCAAGGCTGTAAACGACTACAGGACACAGGGATGCCTTCCAAAATTAACAAAACCAATGCTGTTTTATAAACTATGAAAGGCCAAGGGATAACAAAATGTCAAACGATTCAAAATAGAATGTTTAGGTGTTTTATTTTCTGATCTGACGATTGTACATGTCAGTTGGAAGACATCTATACTAGCATATTTACATGTCAAATGAGGCATTTTAAATCAGTATACCAGACATATATCTCTGTTTAAACCATTACAAGGAAAAGTATTGCCTTTAACAATTACCAAAGCCATACCATATAGCTAGCAACTCAATGCCCCAGCTATACAATTGTGAAACAATTCACATGAGAAAAAGCACTGAATGAATTCTCCACTGTAGAAGGTGAAATGTTAGATGTAATAACGGATGATGGTAGACAGGTGATGTGTTTGTACAACGAAAGCATAGATGGATCACAAGTAGTACCCAGACCAGTCGATGGTAGACCATGTTCTGTTACACCTGTCAACATCTCTTTAGTGGCTGTAACTGTGTATCAACTGTTCAGTGTTCCAAATAAAGAGATGTATGACATAAGCAATAAACATAAATTAAATCCATATCAATACATGCAATGAATGGTACGTGTGGCATTACAATGATAAATGATAAGTTAGTAGTATGTGCAAACAGGGGACTAGTACTTGTGATTATCAGATAGGAGAGTAAGTACAGAATATAGAAACGGACGGTCTACCATAGGAACACATGCTTCTTGTGGCAGAATATTCTACATAGAATACATTAAATACATGTAAAGATAACCTATACTGGAACAGCTTTTCCGATGACAAAATACACACATTAACATTACCATCTACGCCATGTTTAATGACTATAAGATGGAAGTCTTTATGTTCTATGTACAGATGGAAGTCTTTATGTTCTATGTACAGATGAAACTGTACATGTAGCATATATTGGGAAACATTTCAAAACTTTAAATATAAATCAAATCCAAATTCTTCTATTAATTTTGCTGGATAAAATTCAATTCAAAACAGTAAAAAAAGGATCGCATTAAGTACCAAATATATATATATATAACGTCTAGATATTAGTCAAGATTATTAGATACTTCTATTTATTGCTTCCTTTTTTTAATATTGGTGTACACTTTTCAGGCGTATATATATATATATATATATATATATATATATATATATATATATATATAGATTGCCTAACAATGTAATTTTAACACACTATTTAGTATGTAAATATAAGAATGTTTAAAATATTTCCAAATGATGAAAATAAACGCAATATTTCGCTAGACTAACTAGCTTTATCAAGCGTGCATCTATCCAGGTGAAATCGGATGTAGATGATAAAAAACTTTTGCAGCTCAATGTATATGTTGCACTTGAATTTAGCTGCCTTGAAAATAATACATAATTTGGATGAAGTTCAAGATTTTTACAAAATTGGTAGTTGAAGTTAGCAACGTCCATTGGCCAATATTACAGGATAAAAAGGACGATGCTGTGTACTAAATTATTCTTTATCTTTCCTGTATCTTTTCTCATCTTTTTCTTTAAGACCATCAGGTTCTAAAGTGTGGAGTTGGTGGATCCAAAAAATTTCTCTTCTCCTTCTCGCCGTGGTGTCCCACTCGGTGTTGACTTCTATGATTTGGAAGGTAACATTATCAAAAGAATGTTTCGTTGAACGAAGATGTCTTGTGAGAGGACAGTTTTTGTTGGTTTTGTACCATGAACGATGCTTATTGTGCCGAATATTAAATTTGTCCATTGTTTCTCCCACATACTGAATATATATATATATATATATATATATATATAAATATATAAAACCATGTCCACTTAAATACTAAGTAAGTCATTTCCTTTAATATCTGACACTGCTGTCATAATTTTGGTAAGCAAAAGCAGTTTGGATCAAAGCCAAGTGTTTGTTACTAACAATATTGATATCCAAACTCAGATAACTATATTTTGCATGGATTTCCAACAATTTTTCAGATGATTTTGGTCTTTGTTTAGGACTTCAAATTCGGGATAATGTTTCTTTTAAACTGTGAAATTTATACCAGAACTATGCAGTTTAAGATACAGAGAAAACTATATCAACGGATTTTCGTTATGAATAACATTAAATTTCGTGTATAAAAATTATAACAAATGATGAATATACTGACTTTGAACGGCTGATTTCCCAGCAATCGACCAAGCTTCTTTTGATTATGAGACCAGAAACATAAACTGGAGATTTTCAAGTTATTTATAAACTACGAAATATGACACTTTTGTTCAAGTTCATAAAATTCCAAAACGGTTTGACAAAATTATTGATTCCTGACAATCTTTAGCCTTAGACTGTATCTTGATAGAACAGATTACTTAGTTGCATTTGGCTAAAAAAAATAGAATTTGAGATCCTCAATGCTCTTCAATTTCGGACTATATTTTGGCCTTTTTTAACATTTTAATTCGGGCGTCACTTAGTCTTCGAAAACCAAACTGAGAAGACTTTGTGAAATTTAGAGAAAGATTATAGTGAAATAAGTAAAGTATGAATTTATTTTATAGGAATATATAATTTAGATTCAATTCTGATTACATATTATTTTATTTTGGTTTTTGATAAACAATAAGATTAACTCCATTTCACCGAATTCAAATTGCAGCCACGTTGTAATTTAAACTTTTTGATGAATAATTTATACAGTTTTGTACACGAATTCTCAAATATGTTCAATTGCACGTTTTATTTTGTCGTTGATGCAGAATGTTAAGATACATCTGCTAATGCGTAAATACAGGTATGTGTGTGTTAACAGGCTCACTTATTAAGTATCATATTCACATAAGTCACATTACCGATATATGGGTGATAATTATATTCAGATAAGACACAATTTGAGGAGCTCGAGCGTTAGTATTTATACATTTGTTTGATTTACTTGATATTTATAGTAGTTCATACGAATACTGAAATTTGTGTACTGAACAATTTTTTTATAAACAACTAAAATCAAGAGACAGAATAATGATTGAGTAATAAGTACTTATTTTGTCAACCTGTTTTGCTTATACAAATGCCTAGAATTGGTCGACTGAGAAATGGAAATGGGCGCGCATGAATCCCTACAGTTGAAGAATTTGGAGCAGTTGTAGATGAAGTCCTAGCACCTGTTCCTCTACAAATCAAGGCTTCTATGCCATTTCAAGAACAACCTGATATGCAAGGGCCTGCTGCACCAGCACTGAAGGTACAGTACAACCTGTGACTTCCTCTTAGTTATGTCCACCCTCTTGTATGGTCACCATTGAATGGTGGCCATTTATTGGGGTATTCAATTTTGAGATGTTGGCCATTTATTGGGGTCATAAAACATAGGTTGATGTTTTATCTAATTATGTTACCTGTTGAAATCAATCAGCATTGAAGTTTTCAGCTTGTATGTTTCATTAAAATTTACCTGTACAGGTATCTCAGGTTTTCTCTCAAATTGACATTTCACCTTATCTTGAAAATGTAGAATAGAATGTTGCTTTAGTCTATTAACAAATTGAACTTAATTCATATCATTTGTTGATTTTTCTGTCTAAATTTACATTTTTTCTTTTTTTTTCTAATGTTTTTCTTTTTTTATGTTATTTTTTCTTTTTTAATTGTTGTTTTTGCTTCTTATTCTTTTAATTTCTTCTTGGAAAGAATCTTCAGTAAAAATGACAAAAATTCATAGATAAGTTATTGACTAGCATTTGAAAACAAAACAGAGAATCCTTTAAATAATTATTTTTTTCAGAAAAAAAAAGTTATTGTACATGATGTGCATGGAATTCTATTGTTTGTTTGCATTATAATATGAATAATTAGTAATTATAACTTATAATCATGAAAATGATATGTTTAAAGGAACCATCAAGCAAGTAATTTAACAAGCCTGTTTCTTAACAAATTAAAATTATCAATATCATGAATATCAATCCATTTACAATAAATTTTGTTAACAAAGTTGTATAATCTAATATCATGATTATTATTCAGGAAAACTACAAATGTCATTATATGGTATAGGAATAAACTATTTTTGTTTATCTTTTATATTTTTCAAATCTCAAAACTGGAGTTGTGCATGAAGAACCACTAAAGAGACTTAAATTTCCCAAATGGCTACCTAGTTATTATAATATTTTGATAAATGCTAATCATAATGAAAAATGTTCTTATCTCTGAATAAAGTAA